CAGGTATCACCAGCACTGCCCAGGCCTGTGGCTGGCAGAGGGGTGGAGAGAACAGCTCAGGGTCCCTACACTCTGCCCTCCTGAGCAGCTGAGTTGGTGTGTGTGTAGGATGCCACCAGGAAGGTAGGGCTATGGACAATCCTGCCCCTCCCAGGTGGAAAAGAAATGTGAGGGCCCAGAGAATGTCTGTCCCAGGTGCTAACTGCTTTCCTGGGAGGGCCTTAGTCTCAGAAAGCAAGCTCCAGGGTGTAGGAAACTTCTGGGGGTCTTATCCTCACACATGAAAGCTCTGGGGTTGCTTTCAGGAACAGAATGGGGTGCCAAGCCAAAACCAACCTCAGCCCCAAAGACTGAGGTTCAGGGAGTGGCCTAGATCCTCTACGCTCTGTCCTCTAGCGCCCTCTAGTGCTGCAGTAGACTAACACCTGAGCTTCCAAGGTACCCACCTGGGGAGCCTTTGCGGGCAACACAGATTTGGCCCCAGGCCAGGGACCATTACCTTGAAACAGACCCAGAAGGACAAAGATCCCAACCTCAGTCTATCCTGTCTCCCCACAGGTCCAGGTCCTGCTCTACTATCTGCAGCACCCCCCCATTTCCTTCGCAGAACTGAAGCGGAACACACTGTACTTCTCCACCGACGTGTAGCCTAAGGCCGGGGCCGCTGGGAGGATGGTCAGAGCCAGCCCCTCCAGCCAGGCCCAACACAGACTTGAAAGACTGCAACAGAAATTCCCCAGCCCAGCACTCCAGACTCCAAGGGAAGCCAACTTCCAAAAACTGGAATCTGTGCATCTTTTGTGCCACCTTGTACAAAGCCAGCTGACCAGCCCCCAGCCTCACCACCACACCCCAGCTCCTGCCTTCTGTACCTCTAGTTGAGTCTGATGCTCCGTGCTGTTTGGGAATTGTTTTATGTATATTTGTCATGCAGAAAAGGTAGTGACCGACCTGGTGTGGGCACACAGCCTGCTTTGTTCTTTCATTTCCCTCAAAGCTTTCTTTCTTCCTGAGTCCAGTCCAAGGGCTTTTATTTGGCGCTATATAATTGCTGCCAGTTTTCCCCTCTTGGCCCAGATTGTAGCCTCCCCTCAGTGTTCTCCACCCTCTCCTTCCCAGCCTGCCGCATGCATGTGCAGCCACGGTTTTCACTCCATCACGTGGAAAGTTCTGCAGAGATCCAAGCGGTAGTGGCAGTGGTGGCCTGTCATGCTGCTCTACACTGCTCTCGGCCTCTCCCCGCCCTCTACCTATGGAAGCACACCTGCTTTGCCTTGCTGCCTGTGCAAATGTTGGACAAGGAGACAGACTCACACTAATCCTCAGCTTAGCACAGAGCTGGAGAGCTGATTTCTGGAATTTTCCATTTGAGAATCTCCATTTCTGGGGTTTTGTCTGTTCTGTCTCCTGCCTACCAGTGAGGCATCTTTGACTGTTTCTTCTACTGCTGAATTTTCAGTTCCTTTTCCCTCAGTGTTCTATTTCTTTTGAGTGTGAAGACCCACAAGTACCTGCTATCAAAAGAGCCAGAGGGTCAGAAAAGCATCTGGGGAAGGGCAGTTGACTACACCATGCAGCACTGGTGGCCTGAGTCATGGGGAAGCAGCTTGTAGCAGGAAGAAGCTGCAGTGGCTTTCCTAGTGGGCCGGGCTTCCTGGAGGGTGACTACTGTGGCTAAAGTAGGTGTCCAGAAGCAAGCAGGCTCCACCCTAGAGGCTTCCTGGCACCTCACATACCTCGTGGTACTTTTGCCTTAGATTTTTCACTCCACAGCCAAGCACTGCCACGGGGCAGCCCCCACTGCCACGTGTGCTCCAGGGCCTTGGAAAGGAAGGCACAATCCACCAACTGATGTGGTGCTGCCCCAGCCCGTTTGCCACCTTGTTGGTGAACTCGGGGAAACTGCAGAAGTTGAGAGAGGATGAGGAATCACGGGCATCTATCACAGGCCTCTTTAGGGGCTGGGTTTTGCTGGGCCTTCATTGTTGACATTGCTTCAGTGTAGGGGATGGTCCCAATCCTAGCCTTGATACCCACTGCTCAGTACTAGAAAGGAGTGTAATTTACTCCCAAAGCATCATTTCCCTTCTGAGCAGCAGTTGTCCACCCATGGCAATTAGCTTGAGAGGACAGACATACCACTGGAACGTGAGGCATAGCACAGCTCCCTGGCTCTTCTGTGTGGCAGAGTGTCAATTCCTGGGCTTCAGGACTGGGGGAGAGCAGCCCCCATTGTTTGTGCTCAGGGCTAAGTCTAAAGAAGTGTTTGCTGGCCCCAAAGCTGTGGTGTTTGCTCGGCAAGAGGGCCCTTTCTGATCCTGTTTGTACCTGTTGCCTTCAGCAGACTGCTATACTCTGTGTATGCTGGAGGAGAGAAATGCTTGAGACTAAAAAAATGCTCTCCACCCAGCTCCCTGGCAGCAGCTTAGCAAGGAGCCCCATTTCCTGGGACAATAAGTAAAGAATGCCATTGAGCGTTAAGATCCCAGCATCTGACCATTCCTGAAGTCACTGCTTGACACTCAGGTGGTGGTGGCAGGGAAGGTTCTTGCTTCCAAAGGATTGACAGTAACAAGTTAGAGGCCCAACTAGAGCTAGGTATAGCCTCAAATGGGTGCCTCCTGCCTCCCAAAATGAGGGGTGTTTGCTTCTCAGCACTAGGTAGCTATTGCAGCCCCTAGCTTGCTTAGGCCATATGATAAGAGAAAGGCTGGAAGGGCTGAGAAATGCAGAAGGATCGTAATATTTATAAATTCCACCCCAAGTGGGAGGGTTGGGTGCCAGACTTGGACTAAGCTGCACCAAGGAAATACCTGGTGGGTTCTCCTGAAAGACAGGGACTGTGCAGCCCAGGACCCCCAGTCACTGTGCCCAACAGGGCAGCCTGTGCCAACTGGATGCCAGGAGACAGGCTACAGGAATCCCCAGCATGCTTGTCCTTACTGGGCAATGGCTGAGGGCTGCCAGTTTTTGCTGATGGAGGTAGGATGGGACCCTTCATTAATATTCAACTGTAATAAGTTGGTAAGGATATATTTTTTTTTCTGTTTTGTTTCAACTTATGTAGATTATTATAAATTGATGTAAACCATGTGAGGAAAATGTTAATAAAAAAAATGCAAAGCCCCAACATTTGCACAAAACTCAGCCCTGTGGTGTGGATGTTTGTAATCTCAGTAGTCCAGGAAAGACCACCAATCTAAATATTTAATTCCTCCAGCTGGATCCACATGTGTTTCCAAGAACCTGTTTACCTAGCTAACTGTTCCTGAGTCTTCCCTTTGGCCTTTGGTGACTGGGGCAAAGTGAGCCCAAGCCCTCTCCCTCTTTCCAGAGGTCTCCAGATCAACTGGCAGCCAGGCTGCTGCTGGTCTCACTGAATTTGCTGCTACAGTTCTCTTCCAGTGTCTCACCACAGACCTAGCCATCAATGTTGGAGAGTTGGCAAGAAGTTATCCACTGATTTTCTGTAAACTTTTGTCTACACTTTCCTTGGAAGTGGCATATCTCTGGGCAGCCTTTTGGTCTATCTGCTTGTCCGGGAAGGAAGCTGCAACTCCCAGAGGACCCACCTTCCTTTTGGGATTGCCAATGGGGTTAATATGGGCTGCCACCAGCCTAAGCCATTAGACATTGTATTTATTCTGGAGATTGGGAACAGATGTCTCTGAAAATTGCTGTTTGGTTTATGAGCTCATACTAGCTCCCTGGCCATCTAAAACAGGAAGCTATTCATCTCTCTCGATTGAATAGTCAGTGTGGACAAGACTTGGTTTATTGAACTAATGGCTACTGATGGCCTCCAGGCTCATCTTTTGCCAAAACAATTGTTAGGGCAGCATTTCTTGTGCTCCATCCCATGTACAAGCCTAGCTGGAAGAATGTCTGCCTGTCCTTCCTTCAAATTGGTCTTAGGTATGAAGTATTTAGGGACCGCACAGGAAAGAAACATTCCTAAATTTGTTCTCCTAGTTCTGCAGAGTGCTGACTTGCCTGGCAAGATGGGACAGGCACCATGTAGAATTTACCACAGAAGGACATAGGTCCCATGTGCTAGCTCACACTCATGCCAAGGAAACAGCAGGCACTGCCAGAGGAAGGTGTTACCAGCCGGGTTTGACAGCATCACTCACATACAAATATATACACACAGGATGGCTGGATGTTGAAGCTGAGTCTTTGAATTCTGGTTAAGGGTGGGTGAATCGGAAAAGATAAGAAAGCAAAAAAGTGGAAGAGTTACTTTATAGTAGAAAAGAAACAGTACCACTGACTAAAGGGAGCCAGGATAACGTGGTCCCCACCAAGCCTACTGTCTTGACTCCCCTCCCCCAAAGAAGTAAATCCCAAGGTGTCAGCACCAGAGTAAAAGCACCACAGTATAGTAGCAGAGCCCAACTAAAAGCTTTTTTTTTGTTTTGTTTTTTGCCTATGACACACAATGGGCCTCAGCTGTTATTTTCAGTATGAGACCACAAGTCAAGTCAAAAACACAAAAAATTTTAGAAACCCACTAAAAGTAGAGAACAAGGGTGGTGGTGAATAGTCCTTCCACAATGTGATCTTAGCCAGTAGCTGATGGATGACCACAGCAGGACTCCTTCACACGTGTCCCTGAGCTAAGCCTGGGCAGGAAACCAATGTGTGGTTCAGCAAACTGCAAGCATCCTATCAGCAAGCACAGCAGGTTTCTCAGAAGAGGCCAGCGGGGATCATGCAGGGAGTTGCAGTGTATCCTAGAAAGCATCTAGGGTGGGCTTCTGGGGAGCAAGGCCTGGTCGATGTGATGATTTGGTGATGATGACAGTTTTCTACAAACCCTGAGAATCTAGCATTCGTAGAGTTCTCAGGAAGGTTCTCATTCTTTCCTATTGGATTGTCTATGGGCCACTAAGCACCACTGTGGGGAAATACAGAATTTGAAAATAAAAATAACCCAACTTTAAACTGTTATATAAATATATTTTAACAAGGATGACAAAATATTAAACAAAAAAACATACTTGGTTGGATGGCATAAGTTTACTTTGCCCTGCCCTGGTATCCAGGGTAGATGTTTGCATGGAGTTCCAAGGCAAAAGAACTTCCTGGGCCTGTGTAAACACGCTGCCACCTTTCTGTCTGCAGCACCAAACAACCCGAAGGCTGGATGTCATCGGCACTGAGTCTCTGTGAAACTTAATTCCTAACAGTCAATACACAGACCCCTGATTTGCTCTACGGAGACAATCTGGCATGGAACATCCCCTAAAAGCTTGAGGGAGGTCAAAGAGCAGCACAGTATGGCTGCTCCGAAGGCCGGAAGCAAAAAGCATCCAGGAAGTTCCCTCAAAACAACAGCTCTATGAGGGAAAACGAATGACTTCAGCCCTCGAAGCAAGTGCCAAGTGGTACAGATACTATCCTCCAAGAACAGCTCCAGTCCTCAGCTGGCATCCTCCTTCCCCAGGCAATCTCTTTCAACGGAGGTAATAATCAATTGCAGCAGAGAAAGCAGCAAAACCTCCACAACCAATGGCCCCAGCCTTTAAGCCAGCTGTAAAGCAAACAGAAATTAACATTACCTTACCTGTGGTGACAAATATTGGGGTAAGGCTGCATTTACAAAAAGTTTCTACATCCACAGATCCAAAGAAACTAGCTTAAGCATTTTTGGTCATTCAACCAGTGATGGCTTTATGAGACTTCAACAACACAGTATATATGATCTAACCCAGTGTGTTTTATCTAACTGCACATTCACTTAACTTCTCATTCCAAAGAATTACTATTCCCAGTCTTATGGAAATGGCTCCTCACAGGCAGGAAACTGGCTAAGAGAACCAGCCCCTGGAATCAAATGAAAGCATATGGCCTTTTACCCCCAATCTATTTATGGAATAAATTCCTGGGAAGGTGATCAAAGCAGTCCCAGAGGGAACCGAGCTTCTCACAGAGATCCTGGAAAAAAAACTGAGCAATAAGAAGACCAAAAGAAAAGCCACTCTATAAATCACATATGGCGTGTGAGGAGCAAAACCAGGCTTTAATGACAGCAAATCATCCTGACTCAGAAGATGAGAGGCTTTTTACCCTGGGCAAGTCAGGGTGCTCCTGGATGGAAAGAGACCCAGGAATTGATACTGCTTCTAGAAAAGATAACTCCCTGAAGTCTACACTACATTCTTGAATATGCTAACAGGGAGAAGTGATGGGCATCAGTTTGTTTGTTGTTTATAGCCGATAAACTAGCACTTCTAGGATGTCTGCACTTAGCTTCTTAAGCTTTTTTTTTTTCTTCAGTTGTACTGAGAATTAAACCCAGGGCTCAACACATGCTAGACAAACACCACCATCAAGTCACACCAACCCTTTTTTTTTTTTTAATTTTGAGACAGGGTCTCACTAAGTTGCCCACATTGGGCTTGAAGTTTGATCCTCCTGCCTCACCCTCCCAAGTAGCTAGAATTACAGAATGCACCACTGTGCCCAGCTTCTGTACTTAGCTTTCAATGGATTGATTCTAAAAATCCCCAACTGCAAAAAGATATTAACATTATAATTTATATATAAAATTAAAACTGCTAACTAGGGCTAGTGACATAGCTCAGTGGTAGAGTGCATACATAGCATTCGAAAGGCACTATGTTCAATCCCCAGCACCAGAAAACAAAACACCCGACAACTGTGTAAAATTAAGAAAAATATCTAGCCTGGGCATGATGCCACACTCCTACAATCCCAACACTCTGGGGAGGTTGATGCAGAGTGATCACAAGTTCAAACCCAGCCTGGGCAACTTAGTAAGACCCTGTTTTAAAATAAAAAATGGTCTGGGGATGTAGCTCGGTGCAAAGGCCCCAGGTTCAATCTTACTACTAAGAAAGACAGAAAGGAAGATGATGAAAAAAAGAAACCCTAAATATATGAAATACCTAGAGCTGCAAGCACAGCACATCCTGCATGTGTAGACAAACAGGCTACCCAAGGTTGAGTGGACCTAGCTATCCCTCTGTACTATCCTGCATACCAACACATTTCAATTTACTTATTGTGAAAGTTGTTCTATACACTCAATATGGGGGCAGTTCTTTTTTCTAAGATAAATCTAGATCAGTGGTTCTTAGGTGGAGTTGATTTGGCCCTCCCACCAGGGATTTTTTTTCTTTTTTCCACCAGCGACTTTTGACAACTGAAGGAATGCCATTAGCATATGGCTAGATATCCTACAATGGAGAAGAATGACTTCTCAACCCCAGTAAAGATTTATCTAATCCAAAATGTCAACAACACCAAGGATGAGAAACCCTGATGTAGATACAACCAAGTTTCCGAAACAGTTCACACAGAAGTGATCAGGATTTATTTGTTAGGAGAGAAGAATATCAAGTGTCTTTGGAACATTCATATGTTTGGAAATCTCAACATCAGCACATTGGCCAAGACCACAAAAGAAAATCATTCAAGAGCTGTTTACTAACCTCTGAAACCAATGGCTCCTCCAGTGATGCAGCCACTAATGACGCTGTTCTTCCAATCTGACTTTCCCCGGTACTGTGGGTGGAGAAGTGTAGTTTAGAGTCAGAGCAAGCCAGACCAGACAACAAAGGAAAAAAACACAGTGTTTCCAGTTGGCTAATTCAGACTCTATCCAAAGGAAACCTAATCTTCAAAAGTACAATAGTTCCCAGAATTTGAATGTGTTCATAGATGTTTCCTGCAGGTGGCACCAGAGTGCAGAAACCAAGTACAGTACATCTGAGAAGTAATCAAAATTACTGAAGCTGGGTACAGTGGCACATGTCTGTAGTCCCAGCTGCTCAGGAGGCTGAGGAGGAGGATAGCTTGAGCCCAGGAGTTAAGACGAGCCTAGGCAACAGCATAGCAAAATCTCATCTCAAAAATAAATGCATACATACAAAAATAAAAATAAAATCCTTAACTGGGCTGGAGGTGTAGCTCAGTGGTACAGCAGCTGGCTAGCATCTGTGAGGCTCTGGGTTCAAATTGCATCAATAAAAAATTTAAAAATCATTAACTCCTCACCAACAAAAAGCAAAAAAAGAAATCCCATATCATAAACATACAAAAATTCTACACTACAAATTATTTTATGGAAGTACAATCTGAACTGTATCTTGATGTTTCTGATCTGTATTCTAGTAACAACATTAAGAGCATTTATCTTTTTTTTTTGATACCGAGGATTGAACTCAGGACCTTTTGCTTTCGAGGCAGGTGGCAGAACCACTGAGCTAAATCCCCAGCCCCCAGAGCATTTATCTTTAAAAGTGAGATGGCGGCAGACAAGGATTTCTTAGAAAGCAGCAAGACACTTACAGATTCTACCAAGCACTCAGTACAGGAAAACATGGCACCCACAATGGCAAAATTTTTGGCATAAGACATTCCTCTCTGCCCCATATCTTTAAGAACTTCTTTTGCAGTCGGTGTACGGTAAGGATCCTTAGGGTCAAAGCCTACGTTGGTATCAATGCCAGCAGTAAACACCCCAAACGCACCTCCCAAAACAAATCCTAAAAGCAAACAGAGATAAAGATTTCTTTAGCAATGTTTTCTGGATTACTGTGTTGGGATATACTTGTTGAAGACAACCTTTTGGGTGACCACAAGTGCAGAGGACACCCTTCTCACCACTCAAACTCTCTATTTGCCTCCACATTACAAAATTTGGGCTGGGCATGGTGGCACACACCTGTAATCCCAGCATTTGGGAGTCTGAGGCAGGAGGATCAGAGTTCAAGGCCAGCAGTGGACTGCACAGTAAGACCCTGTCTCAAAAAAAAAAAAAAATTGGAGGTCTATCTTCTCTGCCTCCTCTAGGATTTTTTTCTTCATTTCGTAACATTCCTCATGATTCAGTCTGCAACTCTCAAGTTCAGCTATCAACTTTGTAAGTCACTCCCTTGGCCATGCATTCATTCATAAGTCACTTAGCTACTCATGTGTCAGGTACATGCATGCTTTATAGTCACTGCCTCATTTATTCTTCACAATAATCCTGTGAGTCTGTAATCCCAATACTCTGGGAGGCAGAAGCAAAAGGATTACAAACTTAAACCCAGCTGGGCAATTTAGTAACTTGGTGAGACCCTATCTCAAAAAAAAATTTGTTTTAAAGGGCAGAAATGTAGCTCAGTACAAAGACCTGGGTTTCAATCCCCAGTACTGCAAAAACAAACAAACAAACAAAAACACAGCTACCCGGCTGGGGATTTATCTCAGTGGTTCTGCCACCTGCCTTGCCAGCACAAGGTCCCCAGTTCAATCCCCGGTACCAAAAAACAAAACAAAAAAACACAGCTACCAAATGGCAAATCCCACACTGCTATCCACGTACAACCTTCTTGAACTGCTAAATGGAGTCATCCATATGGCAGGTTACAAAATGATTGACTTTGTTCATTCGTTCACTTATTCAGCAAGTTGTTACTAAGCAACTGCCATTGCCAGGCTGTGGGAATACTTGATGAAACAGACAAAAGCCTCATTCTCGTGCTGAAAATATGAGAAAATGGAGGTCTTCTCTTCACCTCAAGTGAATTTCATAATTCAATGAAATTCTGAACACCTCCCATCCCAGCTTATGGTTCCTTCTTTCCAGTCACTCCAGTATTTCACTTTTAAAATTTTGCACTTTTGCTACATCCATTTAAATGTCTTTTATTTTCAATGGAATTTAAACTCATCTACAAATGCGGTCCACTTCTTGAAGGTACGTCCTCAAAAGATTAAGTTTTTATTTCTTTTCTTTTTTTTTCTTTTTTTTTTTT